ATGATAGGCGTCCTTTGAGTACGAAGCATTCCTCGCAAAATAAATCAAGGTAATACAGCACGAGCTCCCCTGCCGAAAAAACGCGTGGACATAAACTACTAGACGCGTGCGGTGTGCGGACAAAAAATCGTTATCGAAATGTCCTTCAACCTTTAACTTCTTGGACAATCCGATAGACAAAAAAGACAAAGGATAAATGAAGCGGTCCAATCGGTTCAAAAGGATGGTTGTTATAGACTGAGGTGTAAAATGATGGACTAACTCCAAACTATAAGGGTTCTCGCAGGTCGCCGTTAGTTAGTCTATTGCTTATCTCCTTTGACCTCTCCAACCACCCACTTCCACCAATAGAATCTCTTCGAATTCTCTCTTCGACTTCTTTGTCGATAACTTAGTCCATCATATTCAATGATCAGCCCGCTGCTTTGACATTACTACACGTTTTAGGTCTTAGAATGTTTCTAGAACCCTCTTCTATGCTCTGATATCAATAGAATAAGTTAAAATTTAGTGTAGACCTAACTCTTTCGACCAGCGGTAAAAATTGAACCGCGTTAAGAAGAAAGGAACCAAGCCACATCAACTATTGCCAAATTTAATTGGGCAATTTAATTTTTTACATAAAAACGTTTGTGTGGATTTTTGTACAAATTCGGTGAATTTTCTGCATTGTACGAAGCGAATTTTTCAAAATTTTCAAAGGAATCCGCACCAACGTTCTCTTGTTGAAAATTAAATTGCCCGATTAAGTTTAGCAATACTTGATGTGGCTCTTTCTGTGTGGCCTTCCTTTGTGTGTTCTTTTCTGCGGAACGCGGTCCAATTTCCAATAGGATTATTATTGCCCCCCTTTTTAAATCTATTACAAGCAATCTATTCTGTGGAAGGCAACCAGACTCGATTGATTTCGATTGTTTCATATACATTTAAATGGACAAAACCCAGTGTTGCCAATTTGCGAGAATCGGCAACCAGGCCCTGGGGCATTATTCGACCCGTGGGAGCTGGCTCGATGTCCCCGGCGTCTGAAGAGCGCTACACTGCGGGCTCTTGTTATTATTTTGTGATTAACCATTTGGATTAATTCGATCCCGTAGCCTCCTTAATAGCTCATCAAGGCATTTGGCTTGCCTCCTTGCCATTGGGTTAGATTTTGCTCTTGTCGGAGTAACCCATGGTGGTCGACAAAGGATGTTTTTCACGATCAAAATGCGAGATCTGGGAAAATTCGAGTGAAATCGGTGAGTAAAACCGAGAGTTTGATAAACTCATGACGATCGATGAGCACTATAGTCAAGACACTTTGATATCCCAAAAGCGTCCGGTAACGTAGTAAAATTGGATTGCATTTTGCAAAAAGGAACCACTAGCATTGCAATGATACTAAGATTGTGCAACTTCATCCTTTGCAATAAAATTGCGGAAATTGTGAAAAACTATGAAATTTAGATGGTAAGTTTTGTCTTAACTTTACAGTTTTTAGCGAGTAAAATAGAAACTATTAAGGGATAATCGGGTTTTTCCTCCAAGACAAAAGAAGTTGCACAATCTTCGCAACATTGCAATGCTAGTGGTTCCTTTTTGCAAAATGCAATCCAATTGTATGTTTTGATAGCTATCCTTCGGTTTCCGGTGCCCGATGTAGATAAAAGACTGCAAAAAAGATAGAAAAACAACGATAGCAAAATTAATTACGATTTATGGATGCTTGATAACAAAAATCGCAAAACTAGTACCTCCATTTGCAATGTTGCAGATTACGCCTGATGTTTTATTTTTTCAAAGAAAATCCCACACAATTTTTTCCCTAGAATTTTCACCAAATGTTCTCAAATTGTGCAGAATATTCTGTTAAAATTTCGAGAAGTAATGTACATTTGTCTTTTTAAAAAATAACAGCAATTATAGACAATCTAAATTATGCACGTGTTTTGATCACCGTCGATTAGGTTTAAATCACCCATTTTGAAAGGAGTTTCGCTTCGTTGGAGCAATTTCATTCATTTTTATGGGTGCAGCTGCAGAGCTGCATTTTTAGTGGCCAAATTCAAAGCTTGTTCTCTTGCGAGGAAAAATTTTAATGCTCCTCAAAAAACTACAGTTTTTTAAGCGGAAATTCAATGTGTCGTGACTCTGGTTCTATGCGACAACTGCGAACTTCCTTGAGCCAAAGTTTTCATAAACCACCCCTAAGAAACGGTCAATACCTCAGCTCAATCATCATGAACTCCGCAAGTAGCACAGGTTGCCTTGAATTACAATTACATGGCTATGCATCACTATTGCATCGATGTGTTGTGCATGTTGCATATCTACTAATTGAAGGGGCGACTATAATTGAAATGTGCGGTAGTAGAGTTGAAATAAATTGCAATTTCTCTCCTCACTACAAATTGCCTATATCTTCTATCTCATAGTTTGAAATCGACATTGGTTGACCGAATGATTTGGAAATATTGCAGTATGATTTTTACATTTTCGTTTTGAAATGCTGAAGGCCCTATTCCCGTCAAAGATCACATGCGATTTTCTACTTTCACCGGAGGCAATTTTTACTCCATAGGCTTCGGACAAAAAGTTCAATGCTTCCGAGGGAAGGAAGTACCCCCTGCGTCGTGGCCTATTCCTGGAAAAGGCAGCTGTCGGTTTTCCTTGTACATGGAACAGTAATTAGAGCAGACTGGGAACCCGCGAAAATAAATAATTATAGGCGCTGGACCGGCGTATTTAACGGAAACACGAAGTACTGTTAAGTTGCCAAATTTGGCGGGATTCGCCGATTTCGGACGGGACCTCAGGCGGGCGGTGGATCAAGCCGACACAATTCCGGGGTCGGATCTCCGCGGTGCGACCAAGAGTGGGTCACGCTGAGCGAGAAATATCAAAATAATCGGAGCTATTAAAAGGAGTCCGTTTGCCTTTCCCGATGGCGGGGGAGGGGGAGGGGCCTTACCCCTTTTCGAGAGTGCTCCTCGAATCAATCGGGTTAGGAGGCGGCTAATGGAAAATATGTGTTTCCGTGTGAAATCGCCGCTAACGTCTCAATTTTGACCTCTCATTTTCACAGTTGGGCGAGATGTTTTCCGGCCACTTTCGCTCAGCTGTGGCTCAATTTTCCTATCGGTTCCGATGTTGTCGGTGACATGAATTATTGAGCAACCGGGATTCTCTGCCGCGAGGAACATAGCGACGGTGGAAAAAGCGCGTATCTGCTTTACGCTGTTGCAAAATCTCTGCTCCCTTTTTATTTTATCTATAGAACGTCGCTTCTCTGACGTAAGGACGTATCTTGATTTTCGCATGAACCCTAGAAAGCATGGATTCATATGCGGAATCGGACTCACATGGAAATGAAGATACGCCCTTATGTCAGAGAGACGACGCGAAGACGAACCAACACCATTGATTGAAATTATTGCAGGCAATTCTTCAAACATTGAGAGAAAATTAGTGAGGTTTTCAAGAGATAACAATGATTATTTTTTCATTTAAAAGATTAATTATGAAAGGAAACTACTTGTGGCATCGGAAACTGATAAACGCGTTTTTGCAAAGTCAATATGTCGTAGTAGACTGTTTCATCCTTAAGTTATCGAACGAACTTACTACACTCGTAGAAAGTCACACCGAAAAGAAATAAAAAGATTTTAAATGGACTTTGTGAACCAACCATTTTTTAAGCTTTAGGGGTTCTTTATAATAGATTCTAATAGAATCTGAATTTTCACGACTTTGATGTACAGACAATGTACAGTTTTAAATAGCTTAGTCTTTATTTTGTGACTTATAGGTATACAAACACCAATATAATAAATTATCTCCGGAATTTCAATCTACATTTCGATGGCCAAAGTGCGAAATCACGTATCCCCGTTTAGGCCACTGTAGACTTCCTGTCACACTTTATGAGTAATTTTTTCTCTCTTTTTTTTGAGAACTAGTCAACGTAATTTTTTGAAAACTTCCTTTAATTTTCTTCGCTATTGATAGAATATCTAAAAATATTTCAAGCTAAGAAATTGGCTTGTTTTTGTTCGAAAAAATAAATTAGGAGCGGAAATTTCGAAATACCACGATGAAGATACGTGGTTCTTCACTTTGACCGTCGATATTATGTTACACTCTTCTATCGTGAAAATACAAACTAGAAGCTCTGCTACTTCCATATGTACATATTTGTGATCGAGTTTGATTTCTTCATCAGATAAAATTTTACATATATACCTTGGAAGCATGTTGGAAGCGCTAAATTTTGCATTTGTGAAGTTATCGCGCCTTTTAGGCTCCGAGAATTTCGGAAGCATGATGTAACATAGCATGCTTGCAAACTGCTAAACATTAAACATTAGTATATGATTATTCTGCATTGTAAATATCATTCACATGGAAAATAGGTCGCGTCCGATCGTTCATCATCTACGACAGTGGCATGTCAAAGAGGGGAACTCAGAACCAAGAAGTACCTACACGGATATAAAAAATGTTGGTGGCACTAGATTCCTGATTTCCAGTATATCTAGCAATTAGTCTGAGATTTCTGCTACTGTTAATCGTGCATCTATTTACGTTTACTAGCCGACTTACGATTGCAGAGACTCAGTGAGAATTGGCTGGACAACTCCTCTTTGGTCGTGACACTGAGCGCAACTAATTTTTTAACAACTTATCGAACGTCACAATACAATATCGATGACTAAAGTCGAAAAATGCTCATCTCTGCCCACTAAAAGTTGTGAGTCCCTACTCATGTTTTATTTTTATTTTTAAATAAATCATACCAAAACTTCTTCTTGAGATGATCTGAGAAATGTTTTGTTTTACTGAAAAATATTTCCAGAGTGTTTCCAGGAGATATTTTGGTTCCTTTTATTTAAAAAAAAGAAGAAGAACATAATTGGAGATTTCTACGAAACCTACGCATATTTCGGTTTTAGCCATCAAAAGGAAACAGGAGGTAAGTAAACGATGCATGATTTAATACGCGTGTGATTTTTTGACAGGGTCCTGGGGTAAAAGAGATCCAGCCTGGCACAATTTGAAAGGAGTGTGGGGTAAAAGATCTTTAGCTGACGACGCACTAATCAAATTTACGCCCAACATAGGTAAGTTGAAAAATGGGGGCAGTCTCTGATACTTACGACCTCTTCTCCAAAGACACCAACTATTTTCGATGATAGACTTGAATTTATTAATCAAGTTTTGGATGGACGAGATAAAATTACTCCAACCATAATGAGTATATGACTATTATTAACTCCACAGATTTCTAAGCATCGCCCAAAATAGACCACTAATCGATAAGCTATAAAAGTCAGCTGATACAATGGACTAGAAATAAAATCCATCTCAACGCAATAAACTAGAATAGCTCAAGAACAAAAGCCACCAACAAGGAAAACTATTGACCTAACGAAAAAAGGTAAATGAATTGAAAGATAAATTATATCACACCTCGTGACACTTTGTTAGTTGAGCAGTACATGTGGCATCAGTAGGGTTTGATGAAACGCCTTCAGAATGTTGGGTATTCATCCCCACGACCATAACGTCGAATAAGCTGCATGCAGTCCTCGCACCTGTTTCCAATGAGAATCTTGAAGGCGCTCATGAATTTGAATTCAATAGTAACTGAGGGGCATGGAGCACAAGGCGCATAAAAGCAGTTTTTGGAACACTTGAAATATTAGTGATTTCAAGTAAAACTAGTCTTAATGCATGTTCTGTGAAAAATTCGCTCCCAAACCAATTTTTAAGCATCAAAAAGTCAGTTTGAACTTTCTTTCAGCCATTAGGATCCATGTAACTTCGAAACATCTAACACGTATTTCTCGAAATAGCGAAAACTGCACTTTTAAGCGCCTTGTCCTCCAAGCCCCCAATTCATCTTCTTTCGATATAGTGGCTAGTTTAAAACAACTGCATGTGCAATCAACCAATATTTTTTCAAGAAAAAAATATACTGTATAGAACTTACAGGTTGTCAATTGAATATTTTTCACGTTCCCCAGATTTTCATCTATGTCATGTTTTCTGCTGAAGTTACGGGTTGAACATAGAATGATTCATTTGATCTCATTATGTATGGTAAATTTTGCCTTTGTCACAATTATTTGCATCGATATTCAACATCTAAATAAGTATTCATGTCACCAATGAAACACCTTATGTACAAACATCAACTCACTTTTCCTCTATAATTTCATTCATCATAATTAAATACTAGACTGTACATAATTACCATCGTTTCCATTTCCGCTTTGCACGAGTTTTTCATTGCGAACCACTGAATAATAATTTTTAAATAATTTTCGTTGATTCAATTTACTATTTTGAAATTTCCGTGTTCTAACGTGTATCGACGGTGTAACTACCGGACCACATATCTCATTTGCGGTGTTCAAAAATCTCTGCTCCTATTTTAATTTTGAAAGAGAGCAACTAATGTCATTCCTACAGTTTTCACTGAATTTTTTCTTCGGACTGAGAAGAAAAGTCACAGAAGTATTCAAGAATTGACGTTAAGTAGTTTCCCACTTACAAAATAAAGTATGACAGGAAGTCTAACGTCGTAAACGATGATATGTGGTCTAGTAGTTTCACCATCGTTTCAGAAGGTGCTCAACGAGTGAGCTGATACCTTCTTCATGGCATTCACATGAATACACCAATTTTGAAATATTTGAATATTGAATTTAAAAATTTAAGGTTTCCTAGTCGCCGACGTAAATAGCCTGGTTGCTGATCGTCGTAAATTAAAATAACTAACTATTCTAAATCGCCATTTTGGATCGAAAATGTATCGAAAGGGTGGCCTAATCTCCGCGCACACCGGGCTCGGAACTCGTCGACCAATGACCTCAGCTCACTTCATTATATTACGACTATATGTACTCTATGGCATCTTACCCATCGGATGGCTAAACTCTGAGAATGCGTATCTCAAAATGCGACGTTGTAGATTTCCTGCCGCATTTTACTTTTTGAAAGAGGAGCAACTCTTTAATTTTCGTTGTCATTTTTTGAAATTTTCTTTGATGAGCTCTGCGCCGTGTAATTCACTCAATGGCGAGTTAGGGGTTGAAAATAATAGAATAATATAAGGCAAAATTGTGAGATTACAGCATGAAATGAAGCTGAAATTAATTATTTCTTAGCTGATTCACTTTTTGGTATATAATACGATATTTTTATATGTTTACACAACATTAACTTAAGTATAAATACATGTTTCGTTTTGTTTCAGGTTACGACGATGTCGCCAATGAATACAGCCTGGAAGATTAAGCACGTCCTGGAAGAGAAAAAACAAATAAATAATTTATTACTCTGAAAAATTAGTTCTCTCAAACGATTTCATCAATTTGATAGGGCATATTTTAAGTTTCTTTTCAAAATTCACCCCGTTCCTCTCGCAAAAACTCTTAAAAATGTTAAAAATCCTCACTAACGGGCAAAGAAGCTCCAGCAATTATAAGGGTGGCAGCTGGGGTAAAATGCACATTACCCATGTTAGAAGAATATGGTTCCTTGACTAATATTTCTTCATATTTGAATATCATTACAGATTGTCGGTTGTTCCCATGATAATTTTACATCTATCTTATGTGAGTGCTCCCTCTGATGTTCAAAGAATTACATTCCTGAGGCAACGTTGACTTTCTTCGGAGAGAGGTAGTGAGTCTTGTCATTTTAAATCCTTTGATGAATCATGATTGTTAAATGTGAGATAAAATTATTTTATGGCCTAAAATCTTCACCAAGAGTTGTCATTGTGGACAGGAGATCTTAAAAACATCCAATATCATTGGGGGTCTTTTTAACACCAAAATTATTTTATTATCGATACTTTTTCGACCCTTTCCTTTTGAACCACGTACAATACTACAGCCACTAAACGTTAAATGTGATGGAGTCATGAATCGGGCTCTTAAGGTGAAATGGAAATAAAATGAAATATAACAACTCTCAAGCTTAAACGGGTCAATTCTGCATTATTGTAGGGTCATAGTAGACTGCAGGTTCTACTCAATTTACTATTCATAGTTGCAATTTTACAGTCTTGGTATCAAAAAGTCAGGTCCCGGTTACAACAATGCTTCGGTCCTGATTACAATAGCATGGTTCCCGCGACTGAACTAGTTGTTACCACAACAAAAGTGAGTAGGACGTTCGCTTTCTAGATAAGTCTAGCTCCATGAAATAGGCGGACTTTTCTGCACTTCCAAAAAGGACGTCACATTACTTTTACCAGTGATGATCGTCGTCACTATTGTGATACGTCTTATTGATGTCACTGTGATGTCGCACTGCTTTATGAACCACATAGTAAATGTCATTATGACCCACGATTATTATTGCCAAAACTAATTCCTACATTGCACATGTAAGTTGTTGTTCTGTCTGCTCCAACCTTACAATCGGACGTATCACTGCCAAACGGAACTATGTGCATTATGACATGAGCCTTGAGACCCATAAGAACAAATCTGTAACAGGGCTCAAGTTATAATGCACATAGTTCTCTTTGGCAGAGATACGTCCAATTAGAATCATGCAGGGAGGATAGACACAGTTGGCTCTTGATTCAGAGTGAATTTCAACCCACAGTCTATTAAAATATCGATTAGAAAGATCAAACAAAAAAATGAAGTGATAATAGTATTGTCAATAGTAATTAATAAATTCACCTGATACACAATTTTAAGTGAAAACTAGCCACTGTCATAGAAATATTCGTGTACTGTGCGTCCATATTCTGCATTTACCGCCGAGAATACAATTAAATTGAATTTGTAATATTCGACATCAACTCGTTTTCATTCAGAAAATTGATATCTATGAACCGAGAGACATGAAATATTCCATAGCTTTGAGCACTATTTTAATCATAATGGAGCGAAAACAAGGAATCGAAACCAGTTTTTATCCAGTTTAACCCTTGATTTTATTTTGCGATATTACCTCTCTATTTTCTTTTTGTTAGCCCTTTCGATTTGAATTATTTGTTCATTTACTTTTTGAACAAGTGACTATATTTCATTAATTCGTGCTTTTGAAAAATAATACGAATGAGAGATCTCGTTTGACGAGCATGGTTTGTCAAAGGTTTTTTCAAGATTCTACCGACATTTTGTGACAGTCAATTACATTTTATAAAGGCGTGAAAAATCAAGAGATATCCCACTCCTCAAAATAAACGGATGGATAATTTATTTTCGGCAATTTATATGTGTTTCCGTATCTGAGAAACATATTATTATTATTCCTTAAGTATAACTTTGATTGTTCGTTGACCCAGCATTACGATGTAATAAAATCTTATATGTTTGTTAAAAATTCTTCATTTTTAAAATAAATATTACATGAAAGTTTGGCTAGTAGAGTCTCTTTATTATTTTCCTTGTTGGAAAAGATCTTTCAAGACAATGTGAGACTGAGAAAGGATCTGCACTTGAAGCTTTACGCATACAGGGTGTACCAAAAGTCCGTCTCACCCCTGCTAACTTTTGAACGAATTGAGCTAGGGTAATGAAACTTTGGGAATGTTCCTATCTCAAAGGGGACCATATTTTGGGGGGGTCAAAATTTTGGTCCCCCCTCAGGGGGGGGCGCGGGGGGCCCCCAACTTTTTTTTTTCAAATGGCAACCCCTATCTTGTGATACCTCATTTGAAAGAACATAAAAAACTAAGAATTTTGGCGCAAACCGCAGATCAATATCTTNGATTCATCATGCAAAATTGAGTAGAATAGTTAGGACTACGTTGCGTATGCTGTAAATGATGCAACAACCCTGGGCGGAAATAGGGGTCGGTAGGGCCTAAACCCCCCCCCCTATGAAATCTACTTTGCCCTCCTCGATAAAGAGGACTGTATTAAGTGGTGACGCATGTTTCATCTTAGAAATTGTAGTTGGATCAATTCTCGGTAAAAACAGCTCAAACTTGTACCTGAGACGGCGCAATTTTTTGAAATTTTCTGGGGAAGGCCCCTCGGACGCCCTTTAGAAATCTTTTGACTAGGAGTCACTTCAGTGATTTTTCTTACGCAAGAAGGGTTCTACGTGAAATTTTGAGGAGGAAATATATATCAGAATGCTTAAAGTACCTTGTCTCATAGTCCATTCAGAGAAAGAAACCAACTGTGCATTAAGCCTCTTATGAGGTTTTTCTAAGCAACGAAAAAGCAAACTTTTTGCCATGGAAAAAGTGGGCTCTTTTCTCTTAGACTTGATCCAAACGCAATGATCTCTTCCAATTTTCCTCGATGAATTATAATTGAACTAAACGAAGTAAAATCAGCGCTGACATAAAACACGAGAGTTGCCACAACACGTGGAGGCTTTGAAAGTTTGACTTTCCACGCATCGAGTCATTGCAAAGCCCGAGCATGTTTTCTCAGATTATTTTGCAATCGCACCATAACATCACTTGCCGATCCAAGTTTCGCCGTGCGCTCAAAACAAGAAAAACACCTGAAAATTTTTTAAAACTTGCTCAGCGGACAGGTAGCATAACGGTCAACTCTTCGTAGCGCGTTCTTTTTTTCAGCTGATCGTCCACATTTATTTGACTGATAAGCAAGAACAATTGGCATAGGGGTCAAGACTATATGATTCGAAACTGAACAGGTGGTTATGTGCCTCCAAGAGTGTAATCATGACGAATTGAAGAAAAAAGAAGATAGAACCAAATGAAGACGCTTTCATGGAAAGACGGACAAGTTCCAAGTCTATTCCTTCTACGCTATAGTGTTAGTGTCACGCTCAAAGAAATATTGACCCATCAGGTAAGGAACCAAACAGTCGCTTAGTATCTTTGGCATACAGTCATGTAGTTTTTTTTTTTTTTTTTTTTTTTTTTTTTTTTTTCAAACAATTATTTTATTTGTTAAATGACAGAGTAGAATGATACGTGACAGGGTATCACCTGAAGGCCTAAGTTTACATATTATTAGTTTTTAAAGATCCTATTTACAATTTTTTGATTATTCCCCCCTGTCCCATGGAAGCTTATTGTCTAGTTACTTAAGTTCTAATTGGTTTCTCGAAGATCCTCTGTCTTCTTTTCGCTTTAGTTGTTTTTGTTTGTCCCGGAATTGCCTTGGGGTGGCCTGTCTTCGGGTGAGGAGGAGGGTTGGCAACTATCGTCATCCTTTTCTTGATTAAGTGCATGTTGTTTTCCCTGTAGTGTGTTCTTGACGTATGCATGTATTAGTGTCCATTTTTTGCGAGAATCTAGCATGGTTGGTATTAGATTATCTGGAGTTAGAGTTGGTATGTTTAGTGTTTTTTCCAGTTCTTCTTTCTTTTGTCTTACGTTGTTACAAGTGAAAAATGTGTGTTCAGGCGTGTCTTTTATTTCAATTCCGTCTTTTATACAATATGGACAATATGGGTCTTTTCGTTTCTTGAATCTATGTAAGTAAGAGGCATATGCGCTGTGACTAGAGAGAAATTGCGTAAGATAAAAATCTGGTTGGCCGTGTCTTCTGTTTAGCCATTTGTGTAGTTCTGGTATGACTCCTTTTGTCCACTTATTTGGTGAATTTGACCATTCTATCTCCCATCTTGTCATCTTGTCCTTGTGTATTTCTATTGGGTCTTCTTTCATAGTCATGTAGTTTAGATTTTAACCCAAAAAATATTCTGAGAATACTCTGATTCTGAGAATACTCTCCAAGAAAGGAGACAGTCATCTTTAAAATGTTCTGAGAATATTTTTGGCCCATATATTTTTGGCGCGAGTAATTTGTTAAGACCAGTAATGCCGTGGTAAGGAAAAACGCTGCATGAGCATTTGAGAGTTGCCAAATTTCCCCAGATAAAACATTACTTATTGGAGAAAGTTATGCATATTTTATCTTGAAATTTTCCAATATTTTAGATCGAATTAAGAGCAAAATTGTTTGAAAAATATGAAGAAATGTATCATAAATTTCTCCCGTACATTCGTTTTTTGTTGAGGGAAATTTGACAACAGCGGCAGGCTCATGCGGCATTCTTCCTTCAAACGGCAGAGTACAAGAGTGCTTTTTCATTATGGCTATTAATAATAGAACAAAATAAAGAGACCGGTCAACGTAAAATTCTACGAGCTTTTCATGCATGTGCGTCAATCTTGTGAGGTTCGAATATACTTCTATTATTGCCACGAACTTAATAAAACCAGGAAATTTAATGACTAATGATAAAACTTATCATTTTGTTGAAAGAAATGACCCGCCCAACAAGGAATACATGTCAAAGGCAGTATCTGATCTCTCCTTTCCACATGTTTTCTAATAAAATGTTTATTTTAGAGAAAGCATAATTATGCATTTTTTCTCTCAATATTTCGAATCATTGTGCTTGTCATTTTTCCTCATGAATCTAAACTTTTTCAAGAATGCCTAGTTATTCGTAACTTTCCTCGAAGATGATGGTGTTAGTCAAAATAATTTTGGCAGCCCTGTCAAAACGGTCCTATGGGTGCTCATTGGGCACCCATTCGACATTGAACTGGGTTCCCTTAGAAACCCTGAAGGAGCCCTGAGGGAACCATCTGGGAACCCTGAGAGTTCCTATACTGCCGTGCTAAGGCCAGTGCCAAATTTCCCTTATTAAAACCTGTATATTCGACAAAGTTTAAGCATATGTTTCCTTGAAATTTTCAGATTATTAGATTAAATTGTGTACAAAATTGTCTGAAAATTTGAAAAAATAATATTCAAAATTTTCTCAGTAATTTCGGTTTTTATCGGAGGAAACATGGCATCGCCTGAGGGCGCATACAGCGTTCTTCTTAAGCACGGCAGTATAAGCAGAGTATACGGCAGTATATAGCGAGGGTAAGGCTGCACCTTGCGTTACTGCTGGTCTCTTCATTCACCCCAAATGGAGACCCGTTGGAATCTCATAGGCCCCACAGAGTCATTTTTTCAATAAGATGTGAATGCTTACGCAGCGAGGCAAATATATAGGAATTGGCTAAATTTAACTAAGGAAACAAAGAAATGGACGTATTTATGCTAAAAGGAATTGGAGATGTGTGGGGAATATGGGATATGCTACGACCTTCAACTAACGAGTACATTCCTTCTTTCTCACCCATCTATCCTTCCTTTCAGTATAAAAAGTCAAAATGAGCTATCATCGATTGAAAAGCCCGCTTTTTGTCTTGTCTTCTGGAGTGCAATTTTATGAAATGCATGAGTGAATTACTCTCAACTAAACCTTCTCTTGATCAATTAATTTTTTTCGGTAGGTTTGCAGCAAAATGAGACCACGTTTATGGATGCTTGCCCTCACCATATTGCCATATTGCCAGGCGAAAAGTAGTCAAATATGTAACGAATGCTGTAAACTTCCGGAGGACCCGATGTGTCATGACCCGAGACTCGAGGTCTTCTACGAGTTCCAAGACCAATGGCCAACCGGGATCGCAGTGACCCCCTGCGGTCGGAAGTTCGCATGCTACCCAGCCAGCATTGACCCTCTCAACACCAACGACGGATGCAACGGCAAGTACGCCGTGGCCGAACTCACCAAATGTGGAGAGCTCCCTTACCCTAACCGCTGCATGAACAACCCATACGGAGGTGTCATCAACTACTCGACCAGTCCACCAACTACAAAAGGTCTCCGGCATCACTTCATCAGCGTTCAAACGATAGTTTACATAAAGGAGTTAAATCTTCTCTTCTGTTTAGACGCCGCTCGTGCCAGGGATTGCAAACAGATTCTCTACCAATCATCTTCGGGCGGGACCAAGGTCGTTGTGATCGACCTATGCAACGACTGCGTCGCACGAATTTATTATTTTGATGACAATGTCGCAAAACCGACATCTCTCTTCAGAGACCTGGCTGTGGACCCCAAGAAAAACGTAGCGTATATTGTGGATGGGTCGGAATCCACAATCGTCGTGTTGGACCTCTGCACCGGAAAGTCTTACGTTGCATTCAAAGGAGATCAAACCCTATTCAAGAATCCAGACGCATTGCCCGTCTTTTGGGGTCAACCTTACTACAGCTTAGACGGCAGCACAATCGGGAACACCACCGTGGGACCGATACCCCTGGCTGTATCCACTGTTTCTCTTTCCCCGGACGGAAAGCTGCTGTACTATTCACCAGTCTTCGGCCGGTTCTTGTATTCTGTGTGTACGGAGTCTTTACTGTGCAACCTGCCGTCAACCGAAGTCGCAAAAACTGTGAGGAGCCATGGAGAGAAAGGAGTGTCCTTCGGGATACTCTGTGACCAGAGGGGCAGAGTTTGGTCCGGCTGTGCGGAAAGTAACGGGATCACGGTCTTTAACCCCAGCTGCCCGTTCGCGAGAAATTTTCTTTACATCCGTGACTTGCGGTTGGGTGGATTATATTTGATAATTGAACCGGGAGACGGATATATTTATTGCGTTAGCAACTATATGTTCGGTCTACCGTTGGTGTATCCGGGAACGGGCCCTCTGTTCGTGGACAGGAGGAGGAAGCCGTACGTGGTGTTCAGATTTAAGTCCCCCTGTGAAAGCCTTTGCCCGAGTTTTTGTGACCCGGCAACGCTGGGATTACAAGTATGTTCCTGTGGTTGTTGTAACTGAAATTGATGGGGCTTGAGGATTGACGCAAGTCCCCCCAACATCCGCCCGTCGAGGGCCCAGCGTGCTGCCAGCGCGATACGCGTACTGACGCCTACAAACCTAAAGGGCTACTTCACGCATTGCGCAATGCTTGAAGTATCCCCTTAGGTTTGTAGGCGTCAGTGCGCCGCGCCGCGCACCAGGGTGCCATAAACTTTCAAGAATCAGGTAATGGGATGTTGAGTATCGAGTATATAAAATTTAAAATTTTTTAAAATTTACGAAAATTTAAAAACTTTTAAAACAAACCTTAAAATCACTCACTTGCATAAAATTTTTCAATTTTTGAAGCGAATGCGTTTCAGAGGTGTCCCCGACCTCCGTCCTCAGCGCGACTGGTCTCATCTATGAATATCGAATCGAGTATACTTTACTATACGCAACAAATTATTATAATATTAGTGAAAGGGTGGCGACAAGGGGTTTTAGAAGAGATGAGGATTTGTCAACTCCCTGAAGGGCTTTGGGAGGATAGGGGACTTTGGCGGCTAAGGGTCGCAGAGGGCCAAAGAGCGCTATAAAAGCGACTTTATACATACAACAAATTATGCCCGAGATTCGACGTATTCTCACAATCTACTTAACAACAGTTTTACGATTAATTGCAAAGGGTTAAATTTTCGTTAGTGGATTTAGTTATTTTTGATCCCATAGACGAGGTTGTAACTTCGAATTGGAGGTTGAATACTCACGGCTAAAGTTTGCATCCGTTCACCTTCGAACTTTTTCGTAGGAATGGGTCTAAATTATCTATGTTTTTTGGGTACCTGATATTTTTATACACCTGTATAATAAAAAACGAACTTTTAAAAAAATTAATGGTAGTATATTTTATTGAAAAATGTCCTTGGAATAAGGGGTTTTCCATTCCTCATCAGTATATTCCTGGTAAGTATGCTAAACTAGAAGATAATTACTGGATACCGCCAAACTTCCAGTTCCACCTCAAAATCAGCTAGATCCATGGTTTATGAAAGTGGGGCACTGCTTTCATACTGACGTACTTACGTAAGAGATCTTACCTGCCTATACAACATATTAAAAAAGCAAAGTTGTATCTGGATTCCCACGATCTGAAAATTGTCCGGGATGTCACCTTTTGCGGCCTTTTCTTATCTGTAAGGTAGATCTTTTGAATGTATCTCGACCTTTAGTCATCCTCCGTAGGGGTGTATCGTTTGTATTTTTGCTGAAATTTTCATTTTTGACAGTAAAAATTGCTTGTGATGAATTTTAAAGGGCCTTACGATCCATTGTTGCCATTTCGCCTCGGCCAACTTTAAGGGTTTTTTTTTTTTTCAATTATACACGCGTCAGACTTTGTTCAACCTATAACCGTGTACAACGTACACGCACATTTTTGGAAATAACGTAATGAAGTACATTCAATATAACCACCTACCCAAGATCAGAGGCAGTATGAAAGTCATGATTCATTTCCTAAAACCCTCTACGTTCTACGAAATATGGTTTCGTAAGAAAAAGTTACGAAGAACGTCATAATGAATGTACTTTATTGCGTTATTTCCAAAAATTTGCGTGTACGTTGTACACGGTTATAGGTTGGACAAAGTCTGACGAGTGTATAATTGAACAAAAACCCTTAAAATTGGCCCAAATGGCAACAATGGATCGTAAGGCCCTTTAAAATTCATCACAAGCAATTTATACTGTCAAAAATGAAAATTTCAGCAAAAATACAAACGATACACCCCTACGGAGGATGACTAAAGGTCGAGATACATTTAAAAGATCTACCTTACAGATAAGAAAAGGCCGCAAAAGGTGATATCCCGGACAATTTTCAGATCGTAAGAATCCAGATACAACTATGTTTTTTAATATGTGGTACAGGAAGGTAAGATCTCTTACGTAAGTACGTCAATATGAAAGCTGTGCCCCACTTTCATAAACCATGGCGTTTATGAAAAAATGGCGTCAAGGAAAATTTGGCAACGGAGGAAAGATTTATTCATGAATTTTTATTTTTTTCCCTCAACGCCTACAGTTTTTAGTTTAAATTAAGTTTTACAGTAGAATTGTGAGTAAATTAGGGGGAAAACCCCTAAATACGAGCAAAAAATGGCAACAATGGACTGCGAGGCCCCTAAAAATTCATCGAAGCCCTTTTCAAAGGCCAGAAATGGAAAGTACGCAAAAAAATACGTGAAGCTTAAAAAAGGGAGTGTGCAGACGACTCAGAGCGGCGAGCGGCGCCCGGATTCCAGTCGGCGCGCGCGGAGCGTGAACTTAGATTGCTGATATCTCCGTTACCAATCGTTTCCTTGGGAGCTATAAAAAATCAAAAGAAAAGGAAAAGTACGAATAATACAATAAGATGTGTTTTGTTCGAATCAAGAATCCGGCATTTGACGATGTACTAGGNAAAAACAAGCAGTGAACTCCAACACAATGTGTTGATAAGGCGCGTCATTAACTCACACATATCAACCCCTTTAGTTTTCATTTACAGAGATTTCAAAATAGGCAAGTAGCACAACAAGAGAATTCATACGATCCAACTCTTCGACGACGCACTTTGACGAGACCGTGTATTGTGAATGTAGAGAGCCATTCGAACGAGTTTAAGTTTTTTGATCCGCCTCCAGCAATATCTTATCAGATTCTTAAAGAAAAGTGCTACGGAATAATTTAAGCGAAGAAAGGAAAAATTCTGTCGAACTCCTGAAAGATACAGTCGATTTAAAGGTATTTTTGGGGCTAAAATATCCAAATCACCGGTACCTATTATAAATCCCGATATATTATTGAAAAGAAATTGACTCGATATGAATGTAATTGCATTAAATATGTCTTGATTTTGTTATTTTAAACGTATTTCCATGCAAAGAAGTTCAACCATGTCCATGCTTTATTCATTCATGAATTGAAAGTAAGCAATCTACATCCCGAAAATCTACCGATTTGCCGTAAAAAATTGCAGAAACTTGATATACCAGGTCAATGCACTCACTCGTTGAATTTACCAACCAATTTCGTGGGTGCAAATATATAAAAATCAATATGCTACAGTCATTTTGGGTGCATTTATTTTTCATGAAACAACAATAATTTCAATCCCGAAAAACCATCAATTTTCCGTATAAAATCGAAAAAATCGAGATGTGTCGATTCCCTGAGGTGAAAATTAGATTCTACGTGTAAAAATACTTACACATGGGGTGGCAAGTCATTTTTCCGAAAACATTTTTTCCTACTGCAATTTTTCCTTATACTTTTTTCCTACTTGTTTTTTGTTCCATCACAGTTACTCCTACGAGTGAGATGTCCTACTGGCTTTTTCCCTAGGGGCATTTGTCCGAAATTCAATTTTAAAACTAGGGGATCGAGAAAGTAAAAAAAACAACATAGGTACCTCACAAGTTAAAATTGTGGCCGCATGCCCGTAAGTAGTGGAGCTTCATCCTCCTCCTTATATTGAGGGTATAGAAGGCTCAGCTTGTAATGTCTCCTGTTCACGCACTTATATTCGGCTCGCTGAGAAAACTTTACTCTTTCTGAAAAATTTCCCTCTACTCTACTCATGTTTACGTTTCAATTATTATTGAATTATTAGGACAAACACCCTTAGGAAAAAAGCCAGTGGGACATCTCACTCGTAGGACTTACTGTAATAGGACAAAAAACGAGTAGGAAAAAAGTAATAGGAAAACCTGATGTAGGAAAAAAAA